CATGCTGATTCCTTATGAGGTGATAGATTGAGAAAAGTTGTCATTCTTCAATTACAAGACATAATGAACAAATTAATCATATTTATGGGCCCATGGAGTATATTAAATGGTATGCATGCCTGTACGTTAGCCCTCGTGATATGTTTACGCCTGTACATCTCAATGCCGATAACTTTCTTAATTATTTCTTTGCTGAGAAAGATCTCTCACAGGCTTCCAACGAATACCTGTGATTCTAAGTTAGCATAAGCAGTCATAATTGTAACGTAGTACTAAAAGGGTAGGTATGAGATAAACGTGGTTTGTGGACTTTTGGCCATGAATTATTTGTAAGCCTATTTTTATCGATATTGGTGTTTGAATCTTAGTTAATACATTTGGATAGTTGAAGTTAATGCATCTGTTGGTGTTGGGCATCATCATTAGCTGCCTTGCTAGAACTTTGAAGTTAAATTTGACTCTGAATCCCTTCTATGATATCAAACCTGCAGCTGCTTGTTGTATTATATATCTAAAGTTAACAATAGGGTTGAGTTTCATGTTAGTTAGTCAGTGGTTTGATATGCTTATGACCATTTGACCGTAGATCTATATATTTCATACTCTATCTTTTGTTTATCCGAGAACAAGTTATACAATCTGCCATATGGTATAATTGATTCGGGGTTTTTGGTTGAGAGGATGCAATTGGAACATTGCATTACCAATGGTTTACTATTGCTAAAAGTAACCGTAAAGTCCTTAGATATTATAAATTCAATGGTTTTAGTTGGAAGGAGATTTGACAGAAGAATCTTTTAACTGATGGGATGATCTTCATTTTCTTTTTTTTGGTTTTGTTGCTAGTTTGTGTCACCGTTCTCCGTTCTTTAATATGCCTCGAGACTTAAACATATATATGCAGAAGTCTTGGAGCCGAGCTATAATTGTGTGAATAACCATGCATTTTCTATTCGGGTTAGACATTTGAAATATACGAATTTTGGTGAAATCTGATTGTAATCCTGCAGTTGTTTTACCTTTGCCAGGAGTAACATTGTCACTGAAGATATAAGCAAGCTGTTTGTGAAGAAGTCCGCCAAACCCTCATAGGGGGTTTCTGGAATTTTGTTTCATTGGGGTAACGGTTGTTGTCCCGTTCATTAATAGATCGTAGCAGAACGTTCAGATTGGTCTAATGCACTTGTACAATGTGAAGAATAGTGTACTCATATTACTAGAAAAAATATATATATGAAAGAAGAGTGAGAGATGGCCGAAGTTCTGTGCTTGTCTCTTTAATTGTTTCTCAGTGACAGCAATTATTTGTGATTTATGTGCGGTAGATGACTTTTTCCCCTCGAATCGATGCATAGGTTTGTACAGAGCCTTTTTTCTTTTCTTTATTAGTATTATTATTATTATATCATAGGATGATCCTGTGATTTTATATTAATCATGAGACCTAATTGAGGCATATAAAAGCTGCATGCCAATCATGGCGTGTTCTGAGTTGGTTTGATCGTGAGTTATTATGTGCTCAGATGGTTGGACTAAGAATAGCCCATACAATTTGTCCTGCACTCTTTGCTTGAACGAGAGCTTAATCTAGTAGGGAGCCTCAGTAGATATAAGGTATGTCTTGATTCTTGAACCAACATGAACTTAGCTCATTGGTAATTTAATTGGCACTTGTCTCTGATCAAGAGATCATGAGTTTGATTTCCCTCATCCCTACTTGTTGTATTAATAAAAAAGTATATGTCTTGAAAAGTTGAGTGGTAATCATCATTCATGGGATTTTAAGTTTTGCGTCGAATCAATATCGATACTCATTGTAGTAAATCATGGAGCATGATCCTCATATTCAAACTAATCCTTGTTTGTTGTTTGAATATGAGTCTTTGGGTCCGAGTAGAATTCAAGTCCTCTATAAAGGAATCTTTTATGTTTTTAAATCATTTCTCCTAAAATTACCTTCATTGTTCTGCTTTGTTTTGCTTGAAGCTTGCCAACAATTATCCCTATGTTTCACTGTTGTGTTCTTTCTTCCATATGGTAACACAAGCGAGAGATTCTAGAACAAGTGAAACCATCTTCAGTAACGATGTTTCAACAAACAATGGTTCGAGCCAAGGTTAAAGGAAAGGATAGCTTTAAGTTTTGGTGTGAAGTTTCTAAAATTATTTCATTTCACCAGCTATGAAATCTTGTGTTGGAATTTTATGCTCGGTCACTAGCATAAGTCAAACAACATCAATTTCAAGAAAAGAAAAAATAAAAAAACTCACTAAAAAAAAAAAAAACTTCATCTAATAGTGACTAAATTGTTATAAATTTTAGACTCAATACAAACTAAGTCATTATGTGCTAAACTAATTGTTGCATTCAGGTGATTTTTAACCTATATTTTATCAATATTTGTAAATACTGACCAGTGAGATTGACTCTAATCAATCTAAAAACCAACCTGTGATTTACCATTGAGCAATTCTTTTTTTTTTTTAGTTTTTCCTTTTAAAAAATACATCCAAGTAAAAATTATGTACAAACCTAGTAAAATTCAGACAGACGGGGGCATTCAGATGGTAAAAATGAGAGGTTTTGGCTTACCAAATAGCAATACATGTGAGATGAAAACTCAGCCAAATTTTTGCCCATCGCTTGTCAGTTTATTTGGCGTAGTAGTTTCTTCCTGACAAGGCTACAAAATACATCAATTGCTCATGGTTTTAAACCACCAAACTGAAAATCTCTATCTCAACTACTAAAAATGAGTATCCCAAGCTAACAAAAGGATGAGATCAAAACCATCCTTTCCCAAACAAATTCAATGAATGCCGAGTAACAAAAGAAAAAGGGAAATGAAAAATGAATGGAGAAGGGTCTAATCCATTCTATGAAGATATTCCTCCAGCTTCGAGGGCTATAAGCATCATTCTAAGGTTATGTTTATTCGATTCTATGAAGAGGTTTGGTTTTCCCTGACTCGTAAAACAAAAAAACTTTGGTTGATCGATCAAGCATCAACCTCACGCTTTTGCAAGCTCAGAAGCAGCAGGTGCGGGGGCGGCAGGAGCAACACCACCAGTAGTAGGCCTGGTCGAAAGAAAAATGTCAGTGTGAATAACAAGTATGGAATGAGTTGAGGGAAAAATAAAATTCAAAAGAAAGCTTTGATCACTGGGATGAACTTACAGTCCAACAAATACTTTGAATGCATCGTAAAGACCCCACTGAGCGCCAGTAAGAGTTCCAATCATAACAATACGGAGGGGTAGCCCACGGGTGAAGAGACCCCATAATCCGAGCTTCTTGACAGCCTGCACGATGAAAAACCAAAAGTTAAAATAAATAAATAAATGCAATGAGAACAAAGGCGACTCCAGACAAGAGGCAGCACTCACATCGCCAACGGTTGCTCCTTTGGCATTGTTGAGGAACGACACGAGATTATCAGCAGGATGGGACACGATAGCACAGAAAACACCAGCCACATATCCACCAGCAAAACTAACACCAAGCTGGAGAGATTTGCTGCACTGGTCCTTTGGTGTGGGAATGGCATACTTGTATATCATCTCAACTATTGTCTCAAAGGATGCAAACTTCATCATTGTATCTGAAAGGAAAAGCACCGGTCCTTTAGAACACAGCCAAATAAAATAAAGCAACAGTCTCCTGATCTTTAGCACCACACATTATGAAACAATAACAAGCCCCATCACTAGAATACATATGCTTAACTATTAGCTATGTCATGTGAATCATCTTCTCAGTTACTGTTTATAAATGTTAAGAAGGCTGAAAATTCAAAAGATCTGCAAAAATAACATCACATATTTCTAATCCATGATATCATTCTCATACAATTAAAAGAGAAGGGGAAAACCCCGAGCTTTAGCTTAATCAATAAGGGCAATTAGTAAACTTAAAGGTTTGTTTGGTCCAAACTCTGTTTCTTGTTTTCAGATTTAACTCTGCCTCTTGACTTCAGATTTAACTTTAAAATCCAAATTTACATTAAAAAAATAAAGATAAAAACATGTAAAACATAATATACTATAAATTAATTAATAATGTTTTAGATTGGACTAAGATAACTACCACTAGTTAACAAAAATATTACTAAACAAACACGCTTGAACAATTTTTTTTTTTTAATTTGGATTCAAATCTTAGATCCACCACCAAACACATGGAATACAACTCTTTTTTCATTGAATCTTTGGTTTTCATATTTTTGTTTTTCAAATCACCAACCAAATGCATCCTAAGGCATTCAAAATTCAAATCAAAACCTAGGAATGCATATAAACATTATATAATTAATGACCAAGCATCAATCAAACCAGCAACTTCCTAAGCATCAACTAATGAAAAGAATTGCCGACTCTAATTCATGGACCGACTAATTAAAACATTGAAACAAAGTAAACCAGATAACAATTTCATTTGTTTCCTCACAAAAACGGGGGAAAAACCAAAGAATTAAAATAACACATGAAAGAAAGCATCAGGATACAAGAATTCAAAACAGGAACTAAATAACCCATGTTTAATCTCAAAGAAAAAGTTAAAAACAAGCTTAAGAAAAACAAAACAGAACATAGTTGATACAAAGCATTGGGTTAAAGCAACTGAAAACAGAAAATTGGACAGCTCTTTAATATTGTCCTTTCCAATATTCCCTGAAAAGGCTATGTTCTATCGTATGGCTGGGAGATATAACTCTGGCATTTCAAAATCAGTTATCTCACTTCATATTGTATTCAAAAGTAACATAGACATCTTAGATAAAATATCTATAACGGCATTGTCACTATGAAATTGAGTGAGTAGTGGAGTACATCCATATTCAAATTAAACTCTCAAGTAATAAATAAGAGCAAATATTAATCTAAGATTGCAGAAGATAACTATACTAGCCCATGTAACAAATATGAACAAAGACCAATAGACACTAAACTAGTACAGGTTTATTCAAAATCAAACCTATGCTCAAATTCAAGTTTTCAGCAGGAATGCAACTTGGAGAACCACAAGTATTAACCCTTCAAATCTTGAATTACAGGAATGTACTTATAATAGCTAAGCATACCACTTTATAGATGAGTTTTTTAGGGTTTTCTGTGGGTTAATTATGAGTTCGAGTTCCAAGTTGGTTGTGTATGCGTGAGAGAACATGATCAATTAATGTAAGAAAAGGCAACAGGAACAAACCCGTAGGAACAAAAAGATAACATAGTAGTACAAATAAAGACTGTTTTTTTTTCTCCTAAAGAGAAATTATAATACCAAAAAGGCATTGAAAGCAAGGTAGTTAAAAACGATTTTCAACTTACATGGAATCTGGCGTCCCCATAGAGGAACAATACCCTTGTACAATCTGCAATTACAATCGTGTTATAACTCATTAATCCAATAAAATATCCAGAAGTTTTTCCTCCTATCACTTGACAAGTGGTGGCTGGAATTGGATTATAAATATAGTACATACCCTAGAGCTCCTTCAGATCTGACAAACTTAGGAAGCCCATCTGAAAGTCCTCTAGCAAAACCAGGCTGAGTCTGAACCCGAACCTTCACTGCTTCAAAAGGGCAAAGCGCAACATCCGCAATCACCTCAGCAGATGCAGAACCAGCAAGGTAGATCAGGGTCTTGTACTTAGCTGCGTACTCAGGTCCAGCAATATCAGAGTAATACTTCTTAAAGAACTCGTAGAAACCAAATTTGCAGGCACCCTGTGCGCTGTAGCCAAGGAGGGTAGGCACCCATCCCCTAAAGAAACCCTTAACACCCTGCTCCTTGAGCAGAACTCCGAAACCAGACGAAATGCTTTTGTATTTTGCAGGGTCAATCTGAATAACAATAATTTTGGTAGTCAATTAGCAAGCCCATTACTGGGCCTAAAATACATGAGCCAGGTTTTAGATCAGATCTATACAACATTCAAGAGCCACAAAAAAGAAAGTAACACAAAAACAAAAACCTCTTAAACAAAGCGAGAAAAACCATAGATCTGAGCAGAACAGAAGTGTATCAGAGAACGAAGATAAAATTCCCAACAGAAAACCAGTCATTCGATGCTCGAGTAACACAACAATACACAGACAGAAGTAACCTGAACAGAAATGTCCACAGAGACATAACATGATCAAATCAAAGCTAATCGAACCTGCATATTGCATTTAACCAAGTCGAGAGGGGTAACAGCCATGTGCGTGAGACCACAGCTGAGAATTCCACCGAAAGTGCAAGCGGCGTAGAAAGCCGGCGAATACATCTCGATCTTCTTAGACGGCTCGCTCGGGGCCGGAATGACAAAGCTCTTGGGGGAAGAGGAAACAGCATCGACGCTCGGAGAAGTCTGAAGCATCTTCTTGAGCGGCATGGTTCGAGTGGAAGAAGGGGAAGAATAGAGGAAGCTGGGGATCAGAGATTGGTGGGAGGGTTTATCGTAGAGCGCCATGGGAGATGAGAATCAGAGCAAGCAAAATTCCAAAAATGGAGAAGACGAACAAAGCAACCCTAGAAGAGAATTCTCTCTCTCTCTCTCTCTCTCTCTCTTCCAATCCCTCAGCGCCAAATGCTCTCTCTCAAGCTCTGTGCTTAGGAAATTGGAGAAATGGGGTTCGTGGTTGCTTTTATAGTCAACGGGCAGCCATGGCGCTGCCCGAAGTCGCGTGGTCTACACGCGAGAAATGGACGCTTTGGCGACTCCAAATTCCAAAGTGGCCTTTTTTGCCCTTCGTCCTTTTGACAATTCAACGGCTACGATTAGGTGGCGTTATAACTAAGGCCATAATCTTACATGTGCGCTGTCCTATTTTTTGTGTAATTATTGTCTAATTCAAATATTTATTTTCGCTTTTAACTTACTTTACGAAATTAATTGTTTTTTTAAGGTTTTGTTTTCCATTGAATTAATATCTCTTTTATTTTTTATTTTTCTAAGAGTGGGATCAAACCCAAAATCTATATCAATTATCCCGCTGAGTTCACTTTAACTTTTTATTTTTATTTTTAAAAATAAAAATGGAATAGGTTTGATAACTACTTTTGTGGAGCCTAAAAATTTACTTCAAGTATAGTGGTATACGTCAAAGTGATTCTATCTATCGAGTCAAATACACAATGACAAATACGGAGGAAAAGTTAGGAGCATTTTTAATATGAAAATGTAAGAATTTGTACCTCGAGTGATTGTTTATGTTGGTTATTTATAGAGACATTGTTTGAATTTCAGCGATATTGGTTTTGACAGAATTTTGGAATCTATTGTGGATTGTAGGAGCAAAGAATGCTTATGTTATGATTGTAATGCACAAAAACAGATGATTTCAGACGATTTGTTGATGCAAAAACAGTCGTATGTTGAATGTGATTGTATCAAACATAGTTGAAGCTAGAAATAACAATAAAAGACTCATTGAAGTATTAAAATTAAATACCAAGTTATTAGATCTAATTCTCGGAGACTCGGGATTTTGAAGGAATTACAACTAAAGGGAAATAAGCATTTGTATCCCTTTTATTTATGATTTTTCAAAATATACTCATGCTAAAATTAAATGTGATGGTCTTGCTATTTCAGAAAATATGTATTCTCGAAATTAAATATCAATTTGGTAGAAAAGTAATAAATATAAATATCTAAATTCAATTCATAATGTTATTCTTTGAGTTTTTTTTTTTAACTCAAATAAATAGGATGAGGATAATAAAAAATGGAAATGCAATTGGTTACTAATACAATCACTTTCTTTTTCCTCAAAGTCACCTTTCTATTTTTAACATGAAGTAATTTTAAGGTTAAAAAACGCATTTAGTCTCTGTACTTTCACTAAAGTAACAATTTAGTTTATGAACTTTAGTTTGTAACGATTTAGTCCATGTACTTTTTCTAAAGTAACAATTTAGTCTATGAATTTTAACTTGTAACGATTTAGTCCCTATAATTTAAAATTTGTAACAATTTAGTCTCTACCATAAATTTTTTTTATTAAAATTAAGTGTCAAATTTTGTATTTAATCTTTCTAATTCATAAATATATTTGGTCCCTCTTTAGTTCATCGATCCATACATACAAGAAACTTAACAAAAAAAATTCACGATAATGATTAAATCGTTACCAACTTTAAATTACAAGGACTAAATTGTTACATATTAAAGTTCAAGGATAAAATTGTTGCCAATTGAAAATATAGGGACTAAAATCGTTACAAACTAAAATTCAGGGACTAAATTGTTACTTCAGTGAAAGTACAGGGACTAAAAGTATTTTTTAACCAAATTTTAACCTCTTATATACTAAAAAATAATAATAATAAAAAATAACCTCTTCTAATGTGTTTAAAATAGAGAACCATACCCAATAATAATAATAATACAACTTTTGAATTATGAAAGGGATCTAAGTCAAAATTTGGAATGTTTAAAGATTTAGGTCTACCTGACTTTTATAAGATTGACAAATCAAAAAAATCCAGCCTAAGTCAACTTTATGTAAACTTCAATTTACACCTGTATTAATTATTATGAATTTATTGGCATACTAAAATTATTATAAATTTATAATTAGGTCAAAGCATGAATTTAAAACGAAAAACTGATGTTGAAGAACTTGACCTAATTTTTGACAGTGGCAAGGGAAGACCAGAAAAGTAGGGTGGGCTGGTGTGAAGGCATATTCCATTCTAACATCCTTTTGTAAATGTACCATTTCCATATTAGTACTACATATAAAATGACAAAAAAAAACGATAAAATTACTTTTGATCATGATACTTTTATTGAAGTAACGATTTAGTTATGTAATAATTTATTGATTATAGTTTAGAATTTGTAATGATTTAATTCCTATTGAAAAAAAATCTATCAAAGATTTTATCAAATTTCTTATCAATGTAGATTTATAAAATGATGAGGGACAAAATATGTTTATAAACTACAAAAGACTAAATTCTTATGTAATGAAAGTGAATACTTATTTTTTATAAGATTTTTCATGGTAAGAATTACTAAAGTTTAAAAACTAAATTGTTACTAATTTAAAAATACAATGACTAAAGATTAATCTTTAGAAAATAAACATGAGAACTAAATCATTACTTCAATAAAAGTCTCAAATATAAATTTTTTTTTTAACTCTATCCTATAATATGGACTCATTTGTTATACTATTTTAAAACATTACTTTCATTATTCAAAATTTTTGTTATTATTATTATTATTATTATTATTTTAAGTACACAACATACTAAAATATTTTATCATCTTTTAATCCAACAATATAAAATTTATAAATAAAGAAAATTAGATAAGATGCCATTTGTTTACTCAAGACAACATAAACAAATTTTAAAAGACGCAAGAACCATTCCTTTCTCTGATTTCTTCAAAACAGTTCTTAAAATTATTGATTAAGTCGCACTATTTAATTACCATTTTTTAAAAATGAATGATTTATAACACAAATAATAATAATAATAAAAGGAGCTAAAAAAGAGACCATAAAAGCAGATGGATTAGGCCATAAAAAGCACACTAAACATTTTTGTGAAACTTAGTGTACGCCATAAATCATGAATCCTGATTATTCTCTTCTGAATTAATTAAAACACTACACTATTAGCAGCAACAGTCTACCTAATCAAACCAATAGAAGAAACTATCTCGACTCACCCGATTTCGAGAATAAGACAATATATCGATCTCTATGTATTCGCTCCTTCCTCCTATGGTCGAAAAATGCAGCTTCCGGTGACAAAAATAAATGGTTTTCAATGCTCACTCAGTGTGTCCAGCTGAGACTGAACCATTTTGAGATATGCATTCTCCATCTAATTCGAGTCCATTGGTTTCGAAGAAGGCCGAATGGAGAGCCCTAACGCACTGCTCGGCTTCACTGTCATTTACAATCAATGAGATATTGACCTGTCCAGTGCGTAACAGAATGAGAAACCTATATATCCGAATCAAAATATAAAATTTTATGCAGCTCATGATCCATAGTGAACATACAAGCATTTCCCAAAAAGAATAGTAATTGCATAAAGGATGACGTAAATGAGTGTTTTCTATATTTTTATATCCGTGAGTGCCCGAACCAACTTGCATGACATCAACTATTCTCAAATCTGCACAAATGTCTGACTCTACTACATTTGGTTGTCAACATAACTCGTAGGATACTAAATTCTACGTAGGTAGTCACCATGGTTTAGACTCATTCCTTCTAAGTTTTTTTTTACTATTTACCTCGGCACCTATTGACCACTAGGCCAATCCATAATGTTTATATCATACATCTTATTAATCCACAGGTTCCTTTGTAATGGTATTTCACTATTTTTTGTTTTTTTCGAGGAAACCAGAGTTGTCTAGTGACAATGGTATATATGCCACTCCTCTCGTTACACTTATGCTCCACCCCATTAATCTTTGGAGGCTTCATCCACCCTAACACCGAACTCGGAGACGAGAGTTTCAAATTTTTAAGTTTTCTAACTAGGAAGGGCTTGAACCCAATTCTTGGAGATACCTCCAAACATCACAAGCCCTTATGCCACCAGGACCTATGATATTTCAAATATGAACTCGGACACAAACACCCTAGACACATGTGTAACTGAAAAGTGATTACACACATGAGAATGGATTATCGATATGAAATATAAGAAAGAATAAACCTTAGAAGCACCCTGGGATATCATTTGAACGTTTACTCCATTGGTGCGAAGAACGTGAAATGCCTGCCAAAAAGTTTTATGGCATATGTTAGAAACAGGCAACAGCCTTCTTGATAACTTCAAAATCATGTAAGTTGATAAATTTACAATTACTAGATGAATTATTATCACATTTATGGTCATCTACTTTTAATGCAATGCTGCCACTCCCAGTATAATAAATATTGATCTTTGAGCGCAGAAATTTTCTCCATTTGCATCAGAATGAAAAATGTACTTCGGAGATAATTTTTTGGAAATTGGATAAAATCCATAAACATTCAACTGAATAAAACAAGATCATAAATTAAGCTTATAAAACCTCAGTATGCCCATGTTTTATTTGTTTAATTTATCACTTTTTAGAAACAATTTTGAATCTTAGTCAAATTTAAAAACAAGAGGTAAGTTCTTTAACTTTTAATTTGAAAAAACAAAAACAAAGATGCTCGTCATTTGGGACTGAAGGAATTTACCAAAAAAAGTGTGTATGACAGAGAGAAAGAAAGAGATCTTTTGCTTTGAAGGCTAAACGAACAAGAACCAAGAGTAGTTAAGGGGGGAAACTAGATGCAGCACCTTTTCTAGTATCAGTGATGACCTTAGAACATTTCCTATGAGAGAAATGATTGATCTATGCTGGAGTAGTTTCACGACAGCAATTTTTTCAAGTTCTTCCACCACATGGTCAAGCTCCTGCCAATATGATATAATGTAAGGCCATATCAACTGTAAATGCAAAGTCTGCAGGGATGCTGATTGTTGAACGTAAATAACAGATGCAGAGTGAGGTAACAAGACTAGCATAATAAACTGTTCGTACTAGACAAGCGACAGTCTTTTCAAAACGAAAGGCACACACAAAAATTTGTCAGACATTGTCGGAGTGAAATGGGATGCACATAAAGAACTAAATAAAACTATACGATAATTTGTAAAAGAAAACAGAGCCATATAATGTATAAACAAAAACATACAATACCATAGTTTCATAGTACCAAACTAAACCTTTTTTTTATGGGATCCAAAGTCAAACTAAAACTAAAACAACCAAATTGCTTTCATCTCTAATTCTTTTAAATAAGTAAAGATCACAAAGAACAGTGAGGGTATATTTCATACGCTTGCCTGCTGTATAAGCTCTCTGCTCCAAAGCTTTGACGGATCCAGGGTCAGTGATAAACTGACTTCACTAGTAGCAACCACATCAACTGATATGCCCAAATCCTCAAAGATTGCAAACACCTGTACTCCAAAGAAGGCACCAAAAAAAAAAAAAAAGGAAATCAATTAAAAATAGCAATAATTCAATCGGGCACTGTTGAAAATAATTGATCACCTGCTCACCTTGGCAAGAAAACCATATTGACCAAGCATGCGAGTGCTAACAATATCCAACATAGTTACATTGCGTTTCAAAACAATGCTTGTTAGCACTGCCTGCAGTTGAGAATATGAAAGGTTATAGCTCTATTCAAGTCTTCTATACAGCTTTAGTTCATTCATTTTCAAAAAATCTAAGTGCTACAAACCTTGCTCATATCTCTGTTGCGGGTGATGAGAGTCCCTGGAGCTTGAGGATTGTAAGAATTTTTAACCCGAACGGGAATATCACCCTCTCTAGCAGGTCGCATCGATTGTGGATGCAGGACCTGAAAAACAAAAGAAAAGAAAAATGGTAAACCCAAAAGATATATGCACCTCAGACATAAATATACCACCACTTTGATCATGCACCTAGATTCTTGATAATCACAAACAAGGGTAAGTAATAGATTTGATGACAGAAAAATATATACAAATCAGAACCCTCATTATGCATTAATTTAGAAGTATGTAAAAGCCTCTGAAAAGAGCAAATCAAAATTTTGAGGAATGGTTGGAGTAGCATTAAAGTGCTGCATGAAAAGCAATATATAGTTTGCACATTTAAAAAGAGCCAGAAATATTACGTGTGGTCCACCTAAATTAACTAAGACATCCCGGTTAAAACTTCATAGCTAAATCAACAAATAGGTAGAAGTTGACAATTCCACCGAGTCAAATGCACAAGTATTTACCTGAGCACCAAAATAAGCAAGTTCAGCTGCCTCGTCAAAAGTCAAAAAGGGAACAGGTTCTGCACCTGAATATATATTAGGGTCACATGTCAAAACACCATCAACATCTTTCCACACCTGCAAGGCACAAAATTAATTTAATATTTGAAACTTCATTGTAATCAAGCTAGGTAGTCCATTGGTTTGACAATGTAACTAAAAAAACAACAGAAGCATTCTTCTAATCAAATAATACAATTTAACTGGAAACAGGAAACTGCAATTTCCAAAAATTATTTAAGAATATGCTGTGACCTGAATCTCCCGCAATCCAAGTGCTTTGCCTATGGTAGTAGCAGTCAAATCACTACCACCCCTTCCCAACGTAGTCACTGCACATGATCTCCAGCCCTTCAATTGGGGAAAAAAAAAGGAGATGACTGCATTATAATTATTTTCCAGATAAGAAACAAATTCTCATGATTCCATTAATTTCAAGAATCAAAAAGATCCAATCCTTCAAAAGGTGCAAACAATAAAGCAAAATGGATAATTCAAAGACCTTTCCAAGGAAGCCAGTAACTATAGGAATAGCAGGATCAGATATCCAATCACCAAGTAACCTTTTTGCGACAGCAGGATAGGTTGCTTCCAAAATGTCAGCATTTGTGAAGTCATCTGTGGTGATGAATCCTATTTCAAAGGCATCATACTGCAAGAGCAGGAATTATCATAAGTTGTCGTCATTCGCAAATTATGATTGATTATAGAATACTATAAAGCTTCTTTTCTCTTATCTGTGACTGTTCGTTGAGCTAGCTTAAAAGAAGCCCTCAACTAATGTGAAATTTATAATGGAAACCACTGTACAATATTGTAAATCATATTTACCTACTATTTCAAGAAGTTTATAATGTGAAGGAAAATAATATTGTCTTCCATATTATACTCAACACTGAAGGTTAAATATATATGGAAATACGTCAACTCCTTTTAGTTTATAGAATAGGCCAGCCGGCCAGGTGTATCAAATATATTCTACAGTAAAAGAAACAGAAGCATACTTGACGGGCTTTGACACCAATCCTATTTAAATATGCTGCAAAAATCCTCGTGGACATGCACTCTCCAAAGGAAACTAAGTAATCTCTTGTTCGTAGAGTCAACTCTTTCATCATAGCAATTCCCTTGAGAAGTTGTTCCAATTCATCAAGGTGTTCTGCAATGTAGTTATGCGATATATATATGTAACAATTATGCCCAAAGCATTGCTGTAAAAATTTAAAATAATAAATTTTGTAACATTCGCAATGTTTATGCTATTTTACTATTTATGGTCCTAATATCAATAGGAATCTGTGAACCCTTAGGAACTGCATTAGATTATTCACAAGGGAACTTGAAAAGGGGATATAAATTTAAGGCATCAGATGAAGATCTCCCTTGCTAAAGTAAAGGATTCTACATCATCATGCTAATATATCTTAACATATTCTTTCTTTTTTTTTTGGATAAGAGATCTTAACATATTCTAAGACCACCATAATTGCAAAAACAAGGTACCAAATGCAAATATTTAAACAAGGCAGGCAATCAAAAAATACTATAAAACTAAAACTTAACACTTAGAAGATTTCATCACCATCACTTCGACCTGCTGGTACTAAGATAGATTAGTAACTAGATTGTAAGATAGCACAATGGTAACCTTCTAGATTAGAAAGCTTCAGCTAAACTGTAGTCTGAGCATCTTAATGCAAGGTGCTCTTGAAGACTCTGAACAAGCATAAAAGCAAGTTGGACAACTACATTTAGATTGTCAGTTTGCCCGAGCTATGTGGGATTGTTTTTTTTTTTAATCTTCTGAGTTTTGTTTGGCCATACCCAGTAATTGCATTGCTATGGTGGAGAAGGTTATTCGAAATCCACTTTGCATATGGGGGTTGGATCCTACAGCAGGTTGGTTAATTTGCAATTATCTGGGGCCTTTAGGTGGAGAGAAACATCATAATTTTTAGGGGTCAGGACTCAGGAGAGGTCGTCGGAGATGGTTTGTCGCTTGCTAGGCTTAACGCCTCTGTTTGAGCATTGATTGCTAAGAAATTTTGTTCTTATCCTTTCGGTCTTCTTATTTTGAATTCAAGTCCTTTTTTTTAGTCAAGTCCCTTTTTTTATGACCCTTTTGTGCTTGTTCTCTTCCATCTCTTCTTCATGAAAGCTCGATTTCTTTTTTTCCTTTTTTTTTTAAACTCAAGGACACAGTTGTACAACCCACAGAACAGATCCTATTAAGTAAGATCGTAAGCTCAGGTTCTTATTTTAAAAAAAGGGTAAGTTGGACAACTACTTAGTAGTTTATAAATATTGATTTTTTTGAGATGCTGAAGTGCGATCTGCTAGTTGATGCCCAATAATGCAAAGTAATTAAATAACTTACAAATAATATCCTCAGTAGATTTAATATTTACATACCAAGACTATGAAAGGAGAAATAGGAATAATCCCCCCGAGCATTTTAGTTCATTCTTCTAGCTAACACCTTGACAGAAAAGAAAATATCTTATTCATTCCTCATTCCTAAGGACTATTAGTTTTTTAACTTTCAATATTCTGATTCTCTCTACTTTTTCTTATGGGTCCCAACCAGACCAAAGTTTATTCTTATTCTAGAAAATAAGAGACAAAATCAATAACAAAGTGCCAAACTGGAGGAAAAGGATAAGGCAGCAAGAATATCCTCTTCAACTAACAAGTTTCAAACACAAAGGAGAGCTTACTTGTAAGAATAGACCTGTCTACACCAAGCTCATCTGCAGTCCTATAAACAATATGACAACGCCCAGTGAGGATGATATATGACATTATTCAGAAGGAGATTGAAGAACTCAAATTTCTTACTTCAGGTGCAACTCTTCTATGAATTTCATCTCTTCAATATCTGATACATTAGTAACTCCACAACTAACAGCTTTTTCTCCAGCCTATTTAATAATCAGGAAACTTCATATCAACCATAGTGTATATGTGTTGAAGGAGAATAAAACGCCATTTCAAGAAAGAATATGAGTAGAGAGACTTGGAAAAGGAAATGTGTACCAGCAAAAGTTTGTTGGTTGTCTTTCCCATGGCCGAAAGAACAATCACTGGCCGCTCCTCAGGGAAGCTGCATATAAGTTCAGCAACCTCCATCATTCTCTCTGCAGAAGCCACTGATGAGCCACCAAACTTCATGACACAAGTAAACTGTTTCTCATTTTCACCATAACTTCTACTCTCAGTCGCTTTTCTGTCGAGCACATCTAGGAGGCTCCCTTCACATCTGACTCTCGAACCTACACGTCTACAGGATAATCTTTTCCCATTGGTGTACAGTCCTGCACTCTGCGCAATGGATGACACGAAATGAAGCTGCTGAGACAGTAGAGGTTGGCAACGCGGTGTTCTACTAGTAGAGGCAGGGGAAATAGTCACGCCTCCAAGAAGATTCAATGCGCCTTCCATGAGTTATTTCGACAAATAATACAATCGCAATAGTTTAACAAAATTAACTTCCAAAAATCTTAAATAGAAATCCTATCAGATTTCAAATGCTTCAGAACTGCAGCTCGATCTGCACAACCCACAAAGAAAACAATCAGTTCGAAAAACATGCGCAATAAGGAAAACATCACAAGACGCAACAAAACTCAACCATAAGCCATCAACAGCCACGCTTTAACTCTGTTTACGCCATCGGAGATAATGAAACAAAACTTATTTCACAAAAAACGAAACAAATCGCTCCATGCTTCTCAAGAACAACCAAAATTTCTGAACCTACTACTCAAAAACCAAAGATTAGGAACAATACCTGGAACACCGAGCTCCGGGGAAATGAGGAGCTGCAGAAAGCAAATCTTAGTCGTATTCCCTCAGAAAATGCTCGGAGTTCTCGGGGTTACGGCTCCGGCTCCTGAAGGGAATGCGAGGACGCAGAAACCAGAAAGCGATGCGGTAGAGAAGAGCACAAAGGCAGCAAATATACCCGAGCAGCCACTGGGCGGCGTCCCGTCAACATTTTTCTCATACGCTTGTTTGTCCACACTTTGAAAAACAGGTCATAGATTGCCAAAATCTTCAAGCCTAAAAAAGTCATTTTACAATTTTTAGAATTAATAATTGGTTCAAATCCTACTTTCTTTCGTTCTTTCTTTTATTTTCCCCCTAAACTATTCCACTTGGTTTGGGAAATTAACTAGTGGCTGGTGCTCGCTACAGCTCGCTGTCTAGAGATGTCCATTTTTTCTACGGACCGCTTAAATGGATGAGGAAACAATTTTCTCCAATACTCAAACTTTCTTTGTATTTCTCGATGTCGATTGGACGGATTGTCCATTGATAGTAGACGGTCCACTGCTACTTTCATGTATTTCTTATAAAAGATCTACTGACTCGAATTTCCAAACAGCAATCGACTCTTTTCAAGTCTAGTGTTAAAGTAGAGAACAAGGTGCTCGTCCTTGCTACCTCTGAATTTTTATGGCATTTTCACTTGCTACACGATTGGGAGGTGTCATTTTGCTATTAATTATCCTAAAAAGGGATGGAGACAAGAAGTGAGTTTCTTGTTTCCTATTTATCGTCCTGCTACACCTTTTTTTAATATATAAATATGTAATGATTAAACCATATAAATTAATTTTTGTATGGGGAAATTGAATAAGAAATAATAATTTTTTAAATTTATTTAATTGATAAATAGTTTTTAAAATAAAAAATGAATGAGGAAAAATTATCTACAGGGAACTCAATCCCCACAAGTTTTCCACGGGGATGGAGGGCATCCCCGACAAGCCTTCTTCATTTCATCTCACCCCGTAACATCCCTACTTGCAACTCCATAATATATATATAATGTTTATCTCTCTTGTTCGTCCAAACTAATTTAACGGCGGTCAACAATAAATAGGTTTAATCATCACTCAAGTATAAATTTGGTCTGCCTTTTGTATTGACTAAATGCTCGGCAGAATTTAGACCTTTAACTTATTTGCATTTTAGAGTGTGATTACTTCTCTTATTTGTCAAAATTTTAATGATGGTGAACAAAAGACGAGTTTAATCATCACTCAAGTATTATCTTTATTTTTTTTATAGTAAATTATAAATTTGGTCATTTTGTATTCAATAAATGTTGGGCGAGAATTTACACCTTTTAACTGATTAAGAGTGTGATTACTTTTGCAATAATTAAAAGTAATTATGAGATAACTTTAATTGATGGAAGTGCTTAGTAAAATTGATTATTTAATGACTTATATAAAATAATTTTCTAATTCTCTAATTTGTAGATAGCACATTTTGAGTTCAGTTTTTTCACTAAATAAATAAAAATATCAAATGTATCATTCCCTTTGTTTCTACAATATAATTGCTTTTCCTAATATTTTGTGGAATAATTTATCGTAAACATAACAGTGTATAATTTAAATCATATAAAGTTGTAAATTATTATTTAATAATAGATTTATATTAACATAGTTAACAATAATTTACCCATACTAATTTCTTCGAGATTCAAGACTAAAATTTCTTCAGAAGTCAAAAAAGTTAAGCATGCAAATTTGTCGATTGGAGTCGGTTTTTGAACAAATCCAAATTGACCCGAAGTTAATCAGTTTTGACTCGAAAATATACGGTGCCAATGGTTTCGAGCCATGCACGGATCCACGAAGGGACCATACCCTTAATTTTAAATAAATATAATTCAGTAGAAAAATGTGCCCCCACCCTGGCGTTTAATTTTGCTCCCCTTTTTTAATATATTATTTTTACAAGGTCGAATTCAGGGCAGCACGTTGCCTTGTTATTTGTTAACCTTTTTTTTTCATTTTTTAATATTTTTTATCCAGAATAGGTCCAATTCTTAAAAAAATAATAATAATAAATTTATTTAGTTCTACAAAATAATTCCTAATTCTTTTAAATAATTTTTTTATATAAAATATGTCTACTTTTTTCATTTAAAAAACTAATTTTAATTTTTTTTCCTGGAATGTATTTCTTTTAATAAATTTAAGTTCATAACTCTAAACTTAGATAAATGTTATAATTTTTATCTCTATTAAATTTATGTTAGTTCATCCATTACATTTTAAAATCTACAAAAACTTACTAATTAAAAAAAAAAAATCAAATTTGATTAGTTCACAAAATCTAATATTAAACAACTCGACCAAAACTTTCAAACGTATAACACCTGTAATGTCAATTTTGTCTAAATTCTATCAATTGTTTTTATACCAAAACATATATATTTTCTAATTCATTCCAAACATGAGATTATTTTTGTAAACAATTATTCAAATGAAAACTATCAAATGGTAAATTGTGTGACACATTTTAAAGTTGAATGTTAAAATTATAATATTATTCAACTATGAGTTGAAAATCGATACACATAGTCAAGTTCGAGTATAAAATTGATATTTTTCTATTATCTTTATATACATTTGTGCCCTTGATATCTCAAGTCTGCCGTTTTTCGAGTTGGGGCCGGTTCGGTTCTTTACACGCCAACCAAAGGAGCACCTTTTTTTTTCTTTTAAAAGAAGCAGAAGTTGCAGTATTATTAGTAGGGGCCGGGCCGGGGGCAACCTCGTTAAATAAAATTTTCCGTTTCTGTTGAATGGACATAAAGGATATGACTGTGATCACCCATTACTGACTGCCGCCTTTTTAACACCGTTCGTTAAAACCTACGCTTTAACTGCCCTAAAATCAACGGTGGATACGGGTCCTGTCACGAAAATATTATTCAAAGTACAGTTAGAATAGCATTTGCGCAGGTGGGTTTGGTTCGTAATTAATATGGTCCATTCGAAACGACACAGGCATGTGTCGTTTTTTCTTTTTCGTACTCCGTTGGCCGCAAAACCGCTGTTCAGTAATCAGTGGATGAATAGTACTTAATATTTCAATCCTGTCTGTTGGCACAATAAAAATCCAAAAAATCCATATATATAATTAATTTTATGGTTCAACGTACACGGTGTGGATTCCATATTGACAGGAGGGGTAAATCGACATTTCCATCGCAAAAGAAAATCGACAAAATATCAACAATATATACATAATATTAATATTAATTATTTTTAACTAATTTAGAAATAGAAAAATATTTATTTGTTAATTTAAATATTTTTATGTTTTTGTTTTTAATTTTTCTAACTTTTACATAAATATCCATCGACATCGACATTTCATCGATATTTTCATAAAATTGAGACATCGATATTTCTATCGACATCAATATTTAAAATCTTGATCATACATTCAAAAGAATTTAACCTCCCATGCCAGAGTAGCTGAATAGAACATTTTATTTCATCCACTTAGTCAAAACTGAAAAAGATACATCAAACTAAACACCCCCACATGACGATTTAAAGTACTAAAATACAATATTGCAATAATATATAATATTTGTGTAAAATAAATCCTCACAAAAATTAAGGACAAATTAAGTATGATTAACTAAGATTATGACCGGTAAGAAAATGGGAGATTTAATTAAAAAAAATAGATAAGATCAAATATAAATGTTTTATAGTACATAAAATATGAATTTAGTTGTAAACCTAATTCTAACTTAACTGGTTTAGGTACCTTGTTTCGATCGGATATCTATATTTTGTTGATTCACTCCAAATAATTACTGCATCCCACCAACTCAATATTTTAGTAACGATGTTCATGACAATTACTTATTATAATAAAAGTAAATAAAACTCAAATATTTTTTTGTATTTAATATTAAAAGACTAAATAGACACAAACAATCAAATTTATGAACTAAAATTGTTACTATATTTTTTTCAAATTCAATGAATCTGTTTTAACCAACATTCGGTTGACAATATTAATTATCACTCACATGCAAACTTGAAAGAGTAGAGAGCACTCGAGTATTTAACTCACACTAGTTTTCGAGTCTGTTTCACAAGCCTTCGCTCTATTATGTAACTTCCCTCAATAATTGGATTTGTATACTCTCGCTTTCATTTATTGATACCGTATTGATTGATTTTAGGTCATGAAGAACAAAAGAGGGGAATAGGGGGTCAAGTGACAATGAGACCGTGATGACATTGCTTATAAGACAAATAACATTAATTTCTACCTAGAAGAAGAAAAGTTAAATAAAGGGGATTGAAATTCATCTTCTTTTTTTATTTTTTAATACAACATGTGGGGATGGAAAATTCAAATTCACAGTTTTTTGATTGACGATAGATACCTTAACCAATTGAATTATACTTCCCTTTTGAAAATAGGAAATGACTGCACTTTAATGTATCTAGGCAGATCACTTTTTGAAAGAGTAAAAAAATGCATTTAATCCGTTAAAAATGGTCAAAATGTTATGCCAGGCCAAAAAATAAAGAAAAAAAAAAGATCCAAATATTCTAAATGTGAACTAGTAAAAATAAATGAGAAAAAGCATATACCATGCATATGCATGAGTAGAGGATTACGTTGTCTTATTGTAACAATCAATAATTGACTATCCAATAAGTCTAACAAAATTAGAAAATAGTCTCCCTATGGTTCAAGTAAGATCTGAATTATCGTTTCAAAAAAATAAAAAAGTAAGATCTGAATAAACTTAAATGTCAAATAACAATTTAAATTAAACTTATTGTGCCAAGTTCCTAAGAAAATTAGTAAATAATAATTTTCTTGGGACGTAACATATAATTATTATAGTGAAAAAAATGTATTAAACCAAACGTAACAGAAAAAAAAATATATATATATATATAATTAGCTTCAAAAGTCTTAATTAACCTAAACGAGTAAAGTTTAGCAGTAATTGACATATATTACCAAACAAGAGATTATAAGTTTGATCACTCATCTCGCATGTCGTACTAAAATAATTTTAAATTAAAAAAAAACTAAAATCACAGGTAAGGTTGGAAAAAAATCATGTAAGAATATGCAAATTCAATATTAAAAGAAAACATAAAAAAAAAAAGATCAAATCAAATATAGAATTGAAAAATGAACCCAAAAAAGAAAAAAAAAACGAGGAGAGATTTGA